TGTAATATTTATTAATTCATTATACAAATATTTATTGAACATTCACCCTGTGCCTGGTGCATTGTTAAGGCACTAGAGATACAATAGTAATTAAGTCATACATAGACCCTACCCATACAATAATTTCCAATGTGCTATGATAAGGAAAATAAATAGTGCTGTGGGAACACATAAGAGAAGCTCTTGAATGTTTCTTAGAGATGCCTATGCAGTCTAGAAGAGACGAGTAGGGATTATCAATGTCAGGGTGAAAAGGGTGGTGGTGAAGACTGTTTTTAAGACAGAGTGAATTGTGGAGAGATGATGTTGGCCAGAATATAAGGTGTTGACAGTAAAATATAATATTTTAAAAATAAAAGTATTCTGATTACAAAGAGGAGGCAGGGTTTGGTCAGTCATTAAACTTTGTCTACATGTATTTAATATATGCATCTCTTGAAATGACCTACTGTATTAGTCAGCTTGGGCTGCCAGCTATGGGCTGCCATAACAAAATATCATAGACTGGGTGGTTTAGACAATAGCAATTTATTTCTCATGGGTCTGAAGGCTGGGGAGTCCAAGATCAAGGTGTTGACTGATTACATTCCTGGTGGGAGCTCTCGTCCTGGCTTGCAGATGATTGCCTTCTTGCTGTATCCTTACATGGCAGAGAGAGAGCTCTGGTGTCTCTTTCTCTTCTTATAAAGCCACTAATCCTATTGGATTAGGACCCCACCCTTACGACCTCATTTAACCTCAATTAACTCCTAAAAGCCCTATCTCCAAATACAAGCATATTAGGAGTTAAGACTTCAACATATGAATTGAGGGGAGGAACACAATTCAGGCCATAGCACCTGCCTTTAACTTTAGTGTTTTTTATTTTACATTTGAAATAATTAGGTCATCTTCAAAAGCCCATAAGATGATATAATATTATTAATACAATCTTGGAAACTTACCTCACTATGTACAAGAAATTCTTAGTAATTGGTTCTTTCTAGGTATTTATTCTTCAGTCTGAAAATGAGAAGCATTATACTGATTGATTTTACTTGCTTAGGAATATGGAGGTGTAAAGTAAAAAGAGATGGTCTATTGGTATTTTCCCCTCTCAACTGAAATGTCTAAACACCATTTTTAACATAGTTCATTAATATATGTCTTTATACATTTGCCAATATTTTTATGCCATCTTCTCCCATTTTAAATGTATTTTTCTGGTTTTCAGGACCTTTTGGCTGTTGGCTATGGGCACTTTGGATTTAAAGAGCAAAAAAAAGGATTGGCTTGCTGCTGGTCAATAAAGAATCCCATGGTAACCTAAACAGAAATATGAAACATTTTGATTTAGTAGCTGTTGACCCAAGTTCTCATAGTGTATATAATTGTATGTAATAATTAAACAAATTTCATAACAATTAAAATTTCTTCTTCTTGACATAGGATAAACAGAATTCATTTACAAAGCCATTCAATAAATATGTATTGAGCATTTCTTATATGCTGTTAGATTTGATGATGTAGTTGAACCATTATTGCTTATCATAGATAATTACAAAGAAGAATGAATCTTCAAATGGAAATCCTTTGAAAATAATATGTTTTTTTAAAATACTTGGTTATTTCTTAACATATGAATAGCTCATTACCACCTGATCTCTGCTATCCCCAAAAGATACAGAATAGATTAATATGACCTTCTTACTATCCATGAAATTTTCAAAGAGAATGAATAAGAATCACAGTATTTTTGCGGGGGGGATTGGAAAGTCCTAGTCAATCTTTAAAGTTTTACATTTAATTTTACTTCACAATGAAATGTGAAGTGGAAAACTTAGAGAAGGGTCAGAAGAGCATATAAAAATGATTAAAATTTTTATAAATAGCCCCAGTATGTCCGGAAGTAGGTTTAATAGCATAAAAGAAAGGAAGAAGCAATTTTAAATGTGGAAGGATTGACACAGGATTCATCATCAGTAGCTTGTCTTCTTTTCATGTGAGTGGTTTGAAATAGGAAAGGATTTAGATTAGACATTAAAAAGAAAACAAAATTTAAGAAACAAAACATAAAAACTCTTGATGGGCTATAGAACAGAGTACCTTAGAGAGTTTTGGAGCTTTTTCTGTTCATTGTTTAGAAATGATTATATAACACAAGCATCTGAAACAAATACTGCAAGAAAAATATATGCTAGATGATTTGTTTGCTGCCCATTTTTTCTTTCCAAAATAAAGTAGGTATGTGATGATCATACTAAACCTGCTGAAAGACTATCAAACTATGATAATTATTATAGAAGCCCATGCTATATTTTTTAAAGCTACAGAGCACTGAGAATTCATGGTAAAGGAAATGACTAATTGAAGTTTTATTCTAATCTATACTGAACATTAGGAAAATAGGAATAACTGAATGTGGACTAACTCTTCTCACATACCCGCTGCCACCAGACTAGTCTCAGCCACCATCATATCCTGCCCTACTGTGGTCTACAAAATAAGATGAAAATTTAATATAATTATTTTTTTATTTAGTGGCCAGAACGTATTTATCAGAGTCCAT